GCTGAAACTGCCCCAGAAGCAGTTGCTGCTGCTTTCGTTCAAGGACTTGTTCCTAAAGTCCAGGAACAACTGCACACAATTGCTATAGGCTGGCAAACTAAGACACTGACAGAAATAATCACTATTGCTAATCATTGTACAACCTGTCAAGAAAAGAAACAGGAAATCACAGAAACTAAGTTAATGTCATTACAACTGCAAACTTTTAGAGAGAGAGGGTTCCTTCAGGGACAATTTAGAGGCAGGGGACGTAGTCGTGGAATGGGAGAAGGAGGGTTTCAGTCCCAAATTAGTGACAGTTGTCACTATTGTGCTCAGCCAGGACACTGGAAGGCCCACTGTCCTCATCAGCCTGGCCAGCCGGAGATGACAGTTGACCTGCCTCCACCTCCTCCCACTCAATTCTCTGTCCCGAATCAGAGAGCCTCCTGTTAGGAGCCTGAGGAATAGTAATGTCATCACAGCCCCACTTCTCTCACTTAATCAAGAAGGCCCTTTCGTTTCCTGCGTAAAAAATGGCATCTATACAAAATGTTTGGTAGACACAGATGCAAGCCATTCTACTCTCCGAGCTGAAGAATTTCCTACAACTCCCCTATCCTCTGATGTTATAAATGCTGTAGGAATTTCAAATAAAATAATTCCTCACCCTGTGCCCCAACCCCTACAGGTTTCTCTAGGTCCTATTTCAGATCAGCATGTCTTTCTCCTAAGTCCCTGTTCTCCTGTTAATTTGCTAGGAAGAGATTTGCTTTGTAAACTTGGCTGTACTATTTATTGTTCTCCAAATGGGGTTTATCTAGATATTCCCCATATTAATGAGCTGGCAGTGCTCGCTGTTTTAGATAACTCTCCCCCTACACCAGAGTTTTCTGATCTTTCTGTGTTGCAAGAAGAAATCATACAGGCTGTCCCTCTGTCTCTCTGGTCTCAGCATGCTAATGAAGTAGGGCAAATGCATACCGCCCAGCCCGTAAGAATTAAATTAAACCCAGCTAAACCTTTACCTAAAGTTGCTCAATACCCTTTACGCCCAGAAGCCGAAGATGGGATACGCCCTGTTATAACTGCCCTTTTGAAGCAAGGTATCATTGTTCCAACTAAAAGCCCTTGTAATACCTATCGCTTTGTACAAGATCTTCGTGCAGTAAATTCTGTAGTTTTACCTACTTTTCCTGTTGTACCAAACCCAGCTATTATCTTGTCCTGTATCCCTCCTGACGCATGTTATTTCACTGTTATTGATTTGTGCTCTTCATTTTTCTCCATCCCTATACACCCTGATAGCCAGTTTCTCTTTGCATTTACCTATCAAGGACTCAATTGCCCCAAGGTTATACCGAATCCCCTTCTCTATTTTATCAAATACTAAAGAAAGACTTAGATGACATAGTATTTAAGGAGGGTTCTGTGCTTGTGCAGTATGTAGATGATTTGCTTTTAGCATCTACCTCCCTTGTAGCCTGTAAAGCTAATTCCTTAACTCTCCTCACCTCTCTTGCCCTAAAAAGCTATCAGGCACCTAAAGAAAAGCTACAACTTTGTCTTCCCCATGTCCACTATTTGGGTCATGATATTTCTGCTGGAGAGCGACTGATTTCCTCCTCCAGAATAGAAGCCATTCTTAAAATCCCTAAGCCAACCATTGTGTCCCAAATGCGTACCTTTTTAGGTATGGCCGGCTACTGGATGGATACTGGGCTATGCTTCTATAGTCAAGCCACTACGAAACCTGATTCTTGTTAATACCCCTGAACCTTTGCCCTGGACCTCAGAGGCTGAAGCTGCTTTTGTTTCTATTAAACAAACTCTATCACAAGCTCCTGCCTTAGGCCTTCCTGATTACACTAAGTCCTTTTTCCCTTTTTGTCATGAAAGAGATGGATTTGCACTCAAAAGCATAGAGACAAGCATCGTCCCATTGCTTATTATAGTTCTGCTCTTGACCCAGTTGCTGCTGGTTTTGCATCCTGCCTTTGTGCTGTAGCAGCAGCAGCTATCACTGTTGAACTTTCCTGTACCCTTGTATTAGGCTCTCTGCTGACTGTTGCTGTCCCACATGCTGTGGCAGCCTTTTTGCTAAGAACTAAAACCCAACACCTTTCAAATGCTAGATTTACTAAATACGAGGTCTTGCTCCTCTCTGCTGAAAATGTCACAATAACTAGATGCCCTGTTTTAAACCCCGCTTCTTTGTTAC